AATGTAATTATACAGTCACATCAAAATCGTTTTGAAACATTCCGTCCAAATAATGGTAAGGCTATGAACAATTCTGCAACAATCTTGTCCTTAGGTTTTCACTGCTGGTGATCGTTATGTCCCACTGATCATGCACTGCCAAAACAACATGTTCACCTTGAACTTGGCAACTGGCAATGTTTGCCGAGACGTTGGATTATTTTAACACATTCGACGCGTAAGCATAAGTTTCATATTATAATTCTATAACAGTAGAGAGTAACAGCGAAAGAAGTGTGACGATGCAGGCACAGAACATGTAGCCAAACTTTGAGACAGAAGCTCACCGCTCGCGAAATCTCGGACCTTTATAACACTGGTCGCGACTTCGAATTCCCTCATGCATGCATACGTATGAAGATGAGTTTTATGAGATCTTACGAGGAGCTGATACAGCAACGGAGTCCTACAGCGGGTATTAATATGGGTGTGAAGAAAAATCTACAATACAGGATACCTAGAATAACTACTGAATTGATGGTCAAGACCTTGTGATGGGCTGGTCCTTATCCAAGAAATCCTTCTTCCTACCGTACTAAGGATTTAAAACTCCTCTACAAGAGAGGAGACCAAGATTCGAATCGAGCTGTAGCTGTAAAAATAAGATATTTATAATCTGTAAGAGCTAGTGTTATGAACCAAACCCACCAGAAGTGTTGGTTGTAGAGATATCCGTTACCGGGGACGATGTCCGTGCAAGACAGAATCTGAGGTTTTCACGTCGTGAAAATTTGGATTGTGAACGCGAGTCATGACGTCATTAGTCTCGTAGATGTACGTAGATGCCGTGTCAGGTGGTTTAATAGAGAAAACACCAACGTTTCGAGAGCCATCTTCATCCTCGTCCTCAAGGTACTGAAGTTATACGACATACCTTACACAGCTGGTAGCCCGAAAATAATTCATTATACTTAGTGGCCGTGAAAGCTTCAGATCATACAAGTCTCGTAGATGGTTACCAATGTTTCGGATAACAATATCACCTCTTAATCTTCGGGGTACGAGACCCATCTTCAGTGTAGAAGATTAGTAACTACCTACCCGGTATAAGTCAATCCACCGGGTATTATTATTTATGTGATGACATCAACATCGCTGGTTTTCCTCGTTGAAAACTGGTACCTTAGGCCACAAAAATATATATTCCATTGGAATTTACAATCAGCGTGTTTTTCCTGTCAGCTTACACAGAATTCAAATAAAAGAAATACTTTACATCACAAGAAAGAAATTGTTAACTGAACAATGGCGGTTCTCAATACAAGACGTTACAGTAGCCACATTCAGTTGTTAGTAAGAATTTTATGCAGTTGCTCCAAAATATATATTAGTAGATTGATCTTCAATCATTGGACGTACAAAGATGGTTGTCTTCTCAAGCTTATTCCAAGCGCTCGACTTACTTATGGCCCTGATAATGGAGGCAGCATGGACCTCTGATACTTTGATAAACTTCTACAAGACTACACTGCACTACAACCCAGAAGACAGCCATATTTGTCCTCAGCGCTGTGAGAACCTCAAACACTAATTGGACACATAAGTGCATTTATTTGCTCAGTTTGTTAAGGGTATGATGTAAACCGAAATGCGAAGTTTCAAACAAAATTTTTCAACTTCACAAATCTGACAACATATAACTATTGTATAATGAAAGCAGATGGCGGTCGCATTTGGAAATCGTCAGTCTAAAGAAACAACACAGACTGTCCCTAGTGTATATTGAACCATATGAATTACAGTTTATATAGGCCACATATGAATAATTTATATTCTACAGATGTCTGAAGTTTCGACAGCTCGCGGACACGATTTCTTTAATTTTACCACGTTTCTTTCTGTAACGAGCATGAAACTGCTATCAAATACCCTACATTGTTCTTTAACGATATATGTCTGCAAATTTTGACAATAAAACTAAGAAGTATCACCAATCGTTGAAATAACTGTCACCTCGTATATATTTGTATCAGGAAATCTAGAAGTCTGTGCTACGATAGACGTCTTACAAAACGTTTCTTAACGCTACATAAACATATCTTTAGACTTAATTATCTGTTTCTTTGACAGGTAAAGTGATGTAACTGGAAAATCTAAGGAAAAGCTGTAAGAAAATGACACCGAGTTATCCCTGGAAATAGACAAACAACTGAATAGCGACAAAGTGAAAAGTGATATCCGATCCACATGATGATCTTCAAACTTTTCTTCTCACGGATCACCAAAGATTTCCGGCAGAAGGAGCTTCTGCCCCTTAAATTACTCTTCTTTGTCCACGCTTCAAGTAAGTAGAAATTATTTAGACTGACTACTGCCATGTGTTTAGGGTGAATGTCAGATGACCCTTGTTGCATTCACTTATCCCAAATAGAGCTCGTAGGACGCTCAATATTCCTCTATCTGAGTGAACATAACATGCATACTTGAAAATTATTATTATAGATTCCCCATATGAAAGCTAAGATTAGCTTCAGTAAAGATAAATTAAATCGGCAGTGGCTTTTTTTTAAAATAAAATTTCACTGTATCGCTGACAAATTGAAATATGCCTGAAACATTCGAATTGTGTTTCCCCCAAACGC